AAACAGGCTGTTAAAAGCTACAGCTTGAGACAAAGTTGCATTAATGCACTCTGGATTTAATTGATAGATACCTTCTATAGTTTGAAAAATTCTTCATTACATGCAAGCATTTTATTTTAATTGCACAGTGTATGTGCAAACTACAAGTTCACTTTGTGTGCCAGTCTCATTTTTCCCACAGTATCTGGTGCGGGTCTGTGTTTTGGATCTGTGCAGGAAATGGCACTGGTAGCTCAGGGACGTTTCAGTCATTGCTGAGCAGTGATTACACAGAGCCAAGGCCTTTGCTGCTCCACAGCCCAGCAGCCGGGGAATGGGGGTGCACGAGAAGCTGGGAGGGGACACAGCCAGGACAGCGGATCCAAGGGACATTCCATTCCATACGGCATCATAATCAGCATGTGAGGCTGGGGGAAGGAGAAGAAAGGAGGGGGGACACACATCCACAGTGACAGCATCTGTTTTCCCAAGTCACCGCTCCTGCAATGGCTGAGCACCTGCCTGCCCATGGGCATTGCTGAATGAATCCCTTCCTGGGCTTTGCTCTCCTTACTAAATGGCTTTGGTCTCAACCCACAAGTTTTGTCACTTCTACTCTCCCAATTCTCTCCCCCACCCCAGTGTGAGGGGAGGGAGCTGCGTGGGGCTGAGTTCCCAGCTGGGGTTAAACCACAACACTGAAAACAAAGTAAAGGCAACTGACATTTCCATATGGCACCCGGCAATACTGTAAACCAACAGCACAGCCAACACAAAGGCAAGACTGAGGGTTGCAAGACCAGCTCTAGATGTACTTTTGCCAAAACAATTTCTAAATCCTGTATTTCAGTTCTGCCAGTACAGATGTAAACTGTCTTTTCAGGTAAGCGTTAAGATCTTAGGAAAAATACAACCACCTTACTGAAAAACACCTTTCTTATCAAGAAACCATTTCTTATTTCAGCAGTCACAGTGTACCTCCCCCAACTCTGAGAACAGGGATTTGGGGCTCTGTTGTTTTTTTGTGTTTAAGTAGAGAAGGTAACACTTCACCACAGGCAGATGGTGTCAGACACGGCGTGGCTGCACACCAGGGCTCACAGCACAGCTACAGTGGCACCACGGCAGCAGCTCGGGAGCTGTCAGCCAAACTGCCAGGACACTGCCACAGCACCTCCAAAGAGGAAATCTGGAGGCTGACAGGGATTGGTGCAGGAGCTCTAAGAAAAGTGAGTTATCACACCCTTCAGTTCTATTAACAGTAAGTTTATGTTCCAACTTGCAAGTGGAGATAAAAATTAACCAAGTTACTTGATAAAGTTGAATAGTATCCACTATTTAATATATTGAAAATATTTCAAAAACTTTCTCCACTACATCTATTTCACGAGACAAACTAGAAGCTAGTGGTTTATAGAAAGTGACAGGACAAGGATAAATCTGCTTACATCCAGGATGGTTCTCTGAACAGTCACACTGCACTCAGTCTCTAATCCAAGTTATTTTTTTAATTTTTCTATTTCTTCCTAAGGCAACTTCAGCCGACCTATCTTTGCAAGTGTTTGATGCACACCATCATCATATTCAGTTAGAAATAGGATCCCATGCATAGACCCTATCCTCCAGGTGATTCCCATTTCAAATACTGTTTATCATTGAATGAGTTGAAACAGCAGCAAGTTTTGTCGTTGCTTTTGTCCAAATAAGCCGTTCATGCCTATATGAAATACTGGTTTGGATGTAGCATTTTGTTTACAAATCTGACCTTATTTTACTAGAAAGTATTCATCTTTATTGCAGAAAACAACTATTAGGAGGGGAGATGTAAAAACCCCAAACCTATCAAAAACTAGATCTTTAGCATACAAGGTCTTTGGCTCAAATGTGAATTCAGATGAAAATTGTGAGAGGATTTAATTAGTGAGCAGTTTAGCAAGATTCTACAGAAGAAAAATTAGTATTTCAATATCTAAAAAAATATGTAAAGTGTACTTGAATAATACTGCAGCTGTCATTCCATTTGCTTAACAAAATAAAATGGCAAAAGGGGCTGAATTCTTCCCTGAGTACACCTACACAATAAATAAGTGCAATCAAAAAAGGTTAACAAGAAGTTACAAAAAACTACAAATAGTGAGTTAGGATTACAACATGTAATCAGTACTAAACTGTGCAGCGTTATACTTTTGATACAAATCCCTGAACAGTAATGTGCTATGGGTTAAAGCCCCACCTGAAAAATTCCCATAGCAGAAGCTGTAAATCCCTTGTGATGATCCAGTGAGCAACACCACTTCAGGAATAATCCATACTCCTCACAGGCTACAAGCTAAAATCCCAGTCTCTGATGAAAAACCTCACAATCCACAAATTGCAGACTCTTGTAGACAACTACAGTGAATTTTCAATTACAAATGAAAGGCCAAGCTTTGAATTCCTACTCAATTGCCTACTTCCATTTGTCTGTAACACAATTAAGCAACACAGAACTCACATGCACTGTGCACCAAGAGTTTAGACATCATCTCCACTGTCATGAATAACAGTGCTCAGTCACTGCAATGTTCCATGAAAGGCTCGAGGCAAAAACAAGCAGTATTTTCCCTTGTGCCCTCTTGGTGACAGACAGCATGAGTTAAATGCATCAATTTATTGATTGCATTATTTTAAATTAAAATCTGATTCTTCATACAACATCATGCAGGTTTCTTGTGTTGGAAGCAGCTGATTTTTAAAACAAGCCTACAAGTTTCATTCCAACAGCACTACTTGCCCTCATCAATACTGCAGAAACTACACCATAAAATGTCTTACAAATGTTATGTACAAACAACCTTCTCAGTAGTCAATTACTAGTTCTAGAAAGTAACCACCTCTCAGAGTGTCTGGCACATTGCTGCTGCAAGAGCTGCAGAACACAGAATTACCCATTCCTTAAGTATTTCTCAGATGGAGATTAAACCTGGAGTACTATGGAATGGGAAGAGATCATACAGATTCATGTACTTTATGTATTTCATTCCTAATTGAGGGAAGGTCTTCAAACCTCGAGTACCCAATACCAAAGTTAATTAACACTCTTGTGGAGAAACCATGAGTGTTTAGCACACAAAGCTGGCCTGAACCTCCCCAGAAATTGTCCAAGATATCCCAAAACATCAAAAGTACAAGACTCTATGAAACACTTTTGATCTGTTAAAAGGCAACAGACTTGCTTTACTTCTCTCTGAAGTGCTAAAGGCTGCCTCCCTTCCCACAAATTTGACCTGCTCTGCTCTCAGCTGCACCCTTGCTAAGAAAAATGTTGAGCAGAGCGCTCAAGTCCACCCAAGATTTTCTTCAATAGATTTGCTTGACAGTCTCAGGACTCATCTACACTTCATTAGGCAGCTGAGAGGGATCGAGGCCCCTAATCAACCCACTGCCCACCATTTATGATCCAGCCCATTATAGTAAACGCCACAAGTGTGCCATACCCTTTGCCTGAAGTTGTTCTATGGTCATCAAGGTCTACACTCAGTATGTTGGAACCACTGTTCAAAACCAAAAAAAGTTGTATGAAACACAGTTGTATGAACCACTGTTCAAAACAAAAAAAAAGTTGTATGAAACACAGCCAAAACAAAACACTTCTCAAAGAATTTCTGAATATACCCAGCAGAGTGAAGCAGTTTTGATTTTATTACTTAAGCGGAGTTTCCTTCATCATTGTGCTCAGGAGGAACTTCACAGCAAAATGGGAGACTTACTGTACCCTCAAGTCTGCTGAGAAACAAACTGGAAACACACTCTGAAAACAAAACTGAAGAACTGTACATGGAGAGACTGAAGGGCAGAAGGCACACTACCGAAAAACATGTTTGTAATTAAGTTCATAAATTGATTTTCTAGAAATTAGTCAGTAGGCAAACTTTCTGGAGGGTAAAGCCTACAGCACTGCTTTTTGGGCATTTCTTGGACTCTCACTAGAGAAACAGCAGATGTTAATAGTAATCATGAGGTAATGTTTTCAAAACATATTTGCAAATATTATTTTAATCATACACTGGATAAAAGCAAGGACAGTTCAGTAGTTAGACAAAACAGTTCTGATTCCAAACCTACATGCTAAAGGCACACTCGGGAGTTCCCTTGATAATGTTAAAAACCAAATTGCAAAGCTCCCCACCTAAACAGACACAGAACAGAAACAACGGAGTGGTGCCACAGAATAGAAGTTTTCCAAGCATTTTTCACCTAAAAATTTACATAACATATTAAAGCACAAATTTAGGTGTGTGCACATAGCCCGTCCTCCTAATTAAAGACTACAGAACATGTAATGGCTGAAAAGAGAACACATTTCATTTATCTGTCGGTCTATTTTCAGGCTACAAATACCTATCTCTAATTTCTACCAGCACTAACTATATTTAGCTCACATTAAGAACATGACATAGCACATGAGTCAGTTTCTGACAAGGAAAGCACAGCAGCATCGCAGCACAGTCTCTACGCACTCCCTCCTAAACTAAAGCCTAAGAAATGAATCACGGGCACCCACTGCTGCCCGGGAACGTGTGAATTGCGGAACACGCTGACACCGAACTGTGCCAAAGGCACAAGTCAGCAGAGAGCATCAGCCTCCGGCACTGACCCGCACGTCCTGGGGGACGGCGGCTGCCGCTCGGTACCCGACGGCACAGCGGGATGGGGATGGAGTTGAAACCCTGAGGGGAACGGCAATCGGGAAAACACGCAGTCTTTGAGGGAGAAAGAAAGGAGGAGAGCTGATCAGGCTGAGTGAGCTAAAGAAACGCCTCCTGCCCGGAGGCAGGGACCTGGGACCCGCTCAGCCCGCCCTGCCGGCACCTCTGCAGGAGAGTCAGGCACGGCACAGAGGCAGAGGCGGCCCCCGCGATCCGGCGGGGTTTGGGGCCAGCTGCCCGGGCGCCCTCAGCCCCACCCGCAGACGCGTCGAGGGCAGGAAGGGCCATTGCGGCGAGGGTCCCGCCGGGACGGGCACCGCCGGGAGCGCTCACCTGCAGCACCAGCGGCTCGGGGTTGAAGGCGAGGGTGATGAGCAGCTGCATGCGCTCCGAGTCCTTCAGGTTGCGCAGCAGGAAGCTGCCCGAGTCCTTGGTCTCGGCGTAGCGGCGCACCAGGCGGTCGAGCAGGCGCTGCGAGGGGCAGTGCACCAGGTCGGACCAGCCCTCCACGGCGCCGGGGGTGAGCAGCCGCACGTCGCCGTTCAGGCTGGCGAACTCGGTGGCGGGCAGCGCCTGCAGCAGGTCGCAGCGGCCCCTGCCGGTGGCGCGGCGGCAGATCTTGGTGTCGATGTCGGCGAGCTCCTGCGCCGAGCCCAGGCGCTTCAGCACGACGCGGCGGGAGCCCTCGCGGGGCTCGCCGTACCGCGCGAAGTACACGTTCTTCACGTTGAAGAAGTCCAGCAGGCGCAGGCGGCCCCAGCTCTCCAGCCGCAGCTGCCCGTTGAGGAACTTGCGGCACCAGCTGGTGCCCCAGCAGGCCGGGCACTTATTGAGCTGCAGGAAGCGCCGCTCCGACAGCTCGTTGCGCTGCAGCGAGGCCAGCAGCGAGTGCGTGTTCAGCACCAGCGCCGCCGCCAGGCTGCCCAGCACCGCCAGCTTCACGTAGCGGTACAGCCGCCCCAACTTCAGCGACACCAGCCGCAGCATCGTCCCGGGCCGCGCCGGGCCCCCCGCCCTCCGCTGAGCTCGCTGCCCGCCCCGGCCGCGCCGCGGCTCCGGCTCCAATAAACTCCCCGCCTCGCCGCTCGCCCGATAAAAGGCGGCCAAGTTACTGAGGGGCCGGCGGGGAGGGGGAGGGCAGGGGAG